CGTCACGCTTTAGAAGAAAGAAAGGAATACGGCCATACGAACGAGAGAACGCGCGAAATATTTGCCTGCTACGAGATACATTAATACATGGAAAAAGAAAAAAAGAAGAAACGCGGCAGAATGTAGGAAAGCAAAAAGGGAACGTATAAAAGAGGGAAGGGGAGGGAAAATCGATCGAAAAGTTAATAGAACGTGAAACGTTCACGAGCAGTGTGGAAATCCCGATTGGCATTTGAAGCTTCTGTGAAGGCGGACGGGCTTGTGATATTAAATTAGAATATTCTCAACATATACGACGGGGCGCATAGATATATCCTCGGTGGTAGTGCGGCGGTGGCGGCGGCGGTGAAGCAGCTCTCTCTCTCTCTCTCTCTCTCTCTCTCTCACGGCAGCGGAAGATGCGAGTGCATCCACCCGCCTTGAATATCAATTCCTCCCACCGCCGTAAGACGGAAATCTATATTCACGCGCGTCCACCTAAAGACCCGTGGCGTGCTGAATTTTTCTCTCGAGTATCGACTGATCGATTACCATATTTCATATTTAGAACGGCTTATACATCAATTGGGAGATCAGCTTATACAAGTATCGTGGATATTTAGAGAGCTGTTGTACCCACACACAGACGTACACACGTACGTGCGCTCGTATCGACAGAGAATTTTTAATTAAAACGTGTGAAAGCTGGATAGTCTCGCGGACATGTCGTCATTAGCGGTCGCAAATAGAGACGCGTGAAACGATTAACCAACGAGATTACAAGAAAAATCCCACTTTGTAGAAATCTGGCGCGATATCGCGGCTGATCAAATATGCGTATATAAGTATACCACGTGCAACAACCTCGATTGCGAGACTCCGACGAGCGAAAGAAACACGCAGCACGCACGCTCCTCGTCGTATATTCGCTCTAGTTCGCATAGAAACACATGCGCGCTAAGAAGGTACACATACGCATATACGGGCATGCATACATACATACCCGTTATTATCGCAGCACGAATAATAACGCGCGTGCATCGTCACGCGGCTCGACTTTGCCCGACTCCTTTCCTGCGAAATTCCGACGTGCGAGGGAGCGCGCGCGCGCGCGCGCGCGAGAGAGAGAGAGAGGGCTGGCGAGTGGTGGACGAAAATCAAGCTCGGGCCGCGTAGCGTGTCTGACGACCGTAAGAAATGATAACACAGGCAGAGCTCGTGGACGTGCGAGAGAGAGAGACAGAGAGAGAGAGAGAGAGAGAGACCGACCTGCCGTATGCATAACGCGCTCGCGCTGGCGATGCAGCTCTATATGCAGCCCCGACGCACCCCTGCGCAGCGCCGCGGATGCCTCGCGCGGATGTACGACTCGCCGAAGGGGGATATTTATGTGCGCCATAGCGTGAGCACAAAGCATACCAGCTCCTGGCCGAGCAGGCAGCAGGAGGTAGGTAGATGGAGGGAGCCCGGGCCCTTCTTAACCCTCCGGCCGTTTCAGCAACCCCGTCCGCCGCCGCCGCCGCCCCCCCCCCCCCCCCGCCGAGACCGAGCCCGAGCGCCGTCGAGTGCACGAATGAAAGAGCGAGCGGGCGCACTCGCGGCGAGGCCGTTACTTCGACGTGTAATTCCGTCAGATTGCCATCGGATTGAGTAATTTCGCTATAATCGCGCGTACGGCCGAATCCTTTCGCTCGGCGACGGCCGTATATAATGCGCTCGTTCCGTCGTCGCATGTGTCACGCCAACCGTCGTAATTTCTCGCGCTCTGCTGTTCTTTTCTTCTTTTATTTTTTTTATTTTTTTTAATAACGCCCATGTCGCTCGATTGTACGGTGCGCTTGAGAGAGCTTACGGGCGAGCTCGCTAGCACGACGTAACGGCGGGAGATGGTTCGGCTCGCAGTTATGCTCGCAATCGTGAACATGCCGGGAGCTGGCGCGCGACTGCGTAAATCGCTCGTTTTCTCAGGTATTCTGCCGACAAGTGAAGCTGGAGTGGCGGATACCACTGGGTAATTGGAGGCTCTCTCTCTCTCTCTCTCTCTCTCTCTCTCTCTCTCTCTCATCGCTTGCTCTGGCAGGAATGAAGTCAAAATGAATATATGCGATTCTTCACTCGTTGACTCCGTTTCCACCGTTTCTCCAGCCGTTTCTCCCGGTCAAGTTTTTAATTGCGAAGTATATTGGTGTCCTTCCATTTTGATGATTGTAAATAAAATTTGTAAATCTTGCGACTATATGTAAAATTTGCAGTCACTAGAAATGTAGACACGTGTTAGCGGATCCTTCATGAATACTCGGGAGAATAATCGCGCTAGTTTCCCGGAGACTCGAAAATTGCGGGGAGATCTTCGGAAATTGGACTCGCGTCGGGAGGTGTCTCATTCTATCGTGCGTATACATCACGTACATATGATAGAATATGATAGATGATAGAAGAAACATGCTCTTCGCGACTCTTAGAGTCTCTCTCTTTCTCTCTCTCTCTCTCTCTCTCTCTGAGAGATCATCAAATAACGTATCGCGAATGCGCATGTATCTTGACTTAGAAGTTGACTTTCCTCGGTTGATACGCGACGGAGATATCTACCCGTGCCTCGCGACCCGCCATAATCCAAATCGACACATTTAATAGATTCCGGCTGAACCCCTAAAGGGCTGTGAGATGGTCAAGTGGTTAGTCCCGATGACGACCGAGGCAGGCCCAAGAGCGATGGTCGCGATGGAGGCGTCGTACAGTTCGGAATTAATAGCGTGTGAACTAATTCGAATGTCTAATAAATCTTGAACGGTGTTCCTCTCCCCCCCTCTCTCTCTCTCTCTCTCTCTCTCTCCTCCTCCCAAAGGCGACTGCCAACCGCTTCAACTTGCACCAGCTGAATTTCTCCAGTGTTCCGGGAGAGAGATTGAAACAGAGTTGAGCAGAGAACAGAAGGAGAGAAAGAGACAGAGGGACAGAGAGATAGAAAGCAGTCAGATAAATTCGATTAACCCCACGAGTTTCGTTAACAACTAACGTTCAACTAACGCGATTACTTCTAATTCCAATTTGTCACCAAGAAGCCGTTCGCGGCGAACAGCAACTTCCGCCCAGCGAAGAATACAGAATTGAAGGCTCGAATGAACGAACTGGGTCAACCCACCGCCCCTCTACGTCACCTTTCTACCGAGGCCTCTCACCCCATCGCCCTCTTCCTCCTCCCTCCGCGGGCACGCGACAAAGTTTCGAATCTCACGGGTCTCTACGTGTAGGTGCGCGGGGTATCGGATCCATATTGTTATCAAACTGAATGGCTGACAAATTACGCCGACGAGTTCTCCGAGATGCGATATCGAGCGTCGAATAGACGCGCGCGCCCGCTCTGTTCGCGATGATGCATCGTGCTCGGTATTATAGCACGCGTGCATTCATTACGGGAGAATAGTGTGAATAGCGAAGAGTCTCCTTCCGCACTGGGTGGAAAGAGTGAAACATCCGTGATGCTTTTAAATTGTGCCCTCGGAGTTCTTGGAGCGTTTAAGACACGAGCGTTGCACGCATTTATATGAACGAATCGAAAATATCCCATTTTATACGGATTTCTGTTTATTCGCGTTTATTTATTATTTATTATTATATTTTATTTATTATTATATGAAATGGGAGAACTAATCATTCGCTTTCTCGAAGTGACAAATAATGGATTTGACAACTTCCGCGTCTGCGAAAAGATAGGTGACCGTGTGGCAAAAATTTTGTCACAAAGTGTCGGTACTCACGAATGTTTCCGCTAAACAAGATCAAATATTTTATTTGATTTCCATTATTTTTTTTCTTTTTTTTTTTTTCTTCCCAAGAAATGCTGAACTTTTTCTACAATTGTAACCAGTGCGTGTAGTACATACTTTGTCAAATTGCTTTCATTTCTGTTCTCGTCTCTTTGATCAATGTTATTCGTAGCAAAATTAAGGATTTTTATATTTTTCAACATCAAGTGTAGAAACGAAAGTTAAATAAATCTGCTATTCACGTTATTGAAGATTAACAAGTTTGGGTGGATACTCACACCCACACTGGCCCCTCCTCTCCCCCATTCACCCATCCGACATGTTCACAGATTGAGACGTGATTTTTTCCACCGCGTTATTTAACATTACGTCAAAAGCATCTTTTCGACTTTAACCGCTCACCAAAGATAAAAAATCGGTATATCAGTTCATTAATAAATGAATAAAATACAGAAAGTTTTTTCTCTTTGAAATGCACCTTTCACATTTCTGATGAAAGTAAGTTTTAATTTGCATACAGATAAATTACGGTGCAATTTTTTTTAATAGACTTTTCAACTTTAAAAAAACGTTTCAGCTTTAATCCATTATAGAGAAGCGTGTAACATTCGTTAACAAATGAATAAAAAGCTTAAGGTTCTTTCTTTATAATTTCTATATTTCTCACATTTTTGTTCAAAATATGTTTTTGATATGAACAATATAATTAAAAATTCAGTGATTTTGTCATTTATCGCTTGGTTTATTGTATCTTGATAAACGACAGCAATGCTATAATATTGATATCTTTAAAAACTAGAAACTCTAAATTGCAAAATGATTTTCAAACCATGCTCTTATCGTTATTTTAGTCGAAGTTATAATCCGTTGAATCCTACTTAATTTTAATTATGTAATAAGAGTATATATATATATATTTTTTTTTTTTCTGTTTATCTCTGAGTTGCGTTACGTGCTCAATTTTTCATTAAGGATAATGGTGACTCGTAGTGGAAATTCTGGAATTATATTTTGGAGAATAATAATATGATTAATTATATTTGATGAGACTGATCAACAGACGATCTGGCGCCATCTAGCGCCATCTAGTTAGACATAAACTCGCTCCATCAAAAGTTTTGGGAGTTCTGCTCGGACAGGTTCGAGTCTCAGCTATATGATATTTAGTTCTAAGATTTCCACTATGAGTCACCACTGTTTCTCGTGCTTTCGAACAAGCAAGGGTATTTTAAGGGTCTATAGGAGAATCTACAGAGACCTCTCTTGGAGATCCTTAGATATAATGGCGTTATAGAATTGTAATGTACGTTGGGAAGTGTGAGATACATTCGCTTCTCAAGAACGAAAACTTAACCTGCATTTGAATATTTTTTCAACAGAATGTCTGAAGATAATAATTTATTATTCGTCAGGGGAAATGGAACTGTACGTGAGCATTTTCATATATAGAACAATAATAGAGAGATTATAATTACATTTTAATGGTCTTATCTACAAACTAGTTTAGATTATATTTCTCTGACATGTTTGTTTTTTCCACATATTGTTTTTGTTTTCTTTTTATGCATCATATTCTGAATATGTATTTGGATTTCAGATGATAAATGTACAAGTGTAATAAAGCACAGATTAATTTTGTAATTTAAAACAATTTCAAAATTTTAACATAACTGATTAATCTTTAGTTTTGTAGAAATAAAATATAGAATACATGTAAGAAATTACATGAGAACTTAAAAATAATAAAATGTGAAGGTTAAGTAAATTGATAATTTTCAGGATAATGAAGGTGATACTACCTGGGATGATACAGCCTTAATACAAGCATATGACAAAGCTGTTAATTTGGCTAAGGAAAAAGTAGCTAAACGTATTGCAAAAGATACACAAGGTTTTCAAGATTGGCAGCCAAAACAAAAATCTCAGAACTTCAAAAGTCGAAATCAAGCAAAAAAACCTTTTAAGGTATGGTAATATATTACTAAATTTTTATTTGTGTTATATATTTTCATATTTCTTATATTGCATTTTTTTATTTAGTTCAAAGTGCTAAGTTTTATTCTCTTTTGTAATTCTGTAATTTCAAGAGATGGACAGTCGGTGCTCCATGTCGTGCAGTATATTCTGTAGATGGAGAAACTTACGAAGCTATTATAACGAAGATTTATGAAAATTCTGGTGTATGCATGGTGAAATTTATTGGTAATTATTTTTGGTCATATTGATACTGACTTATTTTTCTTATCAATAAAATAAAAATAACAATAATAAAACAATGCCCACATGTACCAATATAACTGCTTGTATTTTCATATACATAACATTAATGTGTTATATTTTTACAGGATATAATAATACCGAGAAAGTGCAATTGAATTCTCTTCTAGAATCTAACGGTCTAGAAAGTCAGATTGCTCAAAATCAGAATGCGATTGAGGAGAAGGCTGATCAACAAGCTTGTGATTTCGATGCATCTAATTATAATTCTCAACAGAATTACAAACAGAGTGGCGAAACGATGGATTGCGATCCAGAAGATCCCAGGTCATTTAAAAGTAGCTTTATGCCACAATCCTTTAGTTTGCCAATAGACGGAGTACCACCCGCGCCGCCCTTGCCACCACAGTTAATGGCCAAGTAAGGATAACGATTTAGCAAAATGCGTTACTTTTACATTATCATAAACTAACAATATGTATTTATAGATTACCTGAGAACGACACGGATGCTTTGTCTAGTATGCTAATGTCTTGGTATATAAGTGGGTTTCATACAGGTAATTTTACAATTTTACGTAACAAAAGATGTATATATCTTTTAATGTATATTATATTTTTCTAAAAAAGAAATATAGCATACGCAATATCATGATTTGTACATAGGTTATTATCATGGACTAAAACAGGCGAATCGAAATAAGCAGAGAAAACAGAACTATTAATAGTGTCCCGGCACTTGGTGGAAGGTTTCATCTCATGGTTTCAACACCACTTGTATATGCGCTATATTAATATATAAGTTTGTGTATGAGGGAAAAAACAAATACTTTATAAATACGTACGAGAAGACTTATTCGTATATGTCTATAATCAACCAGTGCTTACACACATATGTATTTCCGAAACAAAAATGATATAAAAATTTTAATCATTATTGTGCATATGTCGCGAAAACGAAAGATTCTGATATATTCTACGGAAGGAATTTAATGTGATTAATTGACTTGAGAATGTAATATCTGTTTTCATTCGTGTAACATGGCTGATGCTGTAATATGTAAAAAAATTTATAATAGAATTCTCGTGGCACGCTCATGGATAAATTCCGAGCACCGCAAAATTACTGCCGTTTCATTCATTTGTAAACGGCTCGCCGCTTATTTGTCAATTATCGCGCGTATTCCGTGATGTAAATTGCCTCGAGCTTGCCCACATCTATACAATGGATTATCCAAAGGAACCAAATTCTTTGTGCCACTTGGCATATTGGTCACTCATGTGCTTAGCGATTGGTTTTACGTTGTTTTTTGCAAGCGCAATGTGGCTCATCGCATTGATCAGACTGTCGTTCTGAATATCATTCACCGAGACAGCCTTACTCTCGAGCCTGGCCCAAACGGGCCGCAACTGATTCATCCATGCCTCCTTACACAACAGTTTCAGGTCCGCGCACGAGTAACCAGCCGTTTCTTTCACAAGATCCGACATTTCCGAAGACTCGTGCAAATCCTGATGCACGTAAAATTGCAAAATTTCCAGCCGACTGGCTTCATCAGGTAGGTCCACGAAGATGCGCTTCTCCAAGCGTCTCAACAGGGCGACATCTATGTTCCTGAGTAACGTGAAATTCGCTTGAAATTGGAACACGAAGGGGCGAAAAGAACGGTTCAAAGGCCTTCAAAGAGACTAAAAATACACGGTGAGATAACTCGAATATTAAAAGTAACTCAAAAACAGTCTTCCCTCGGAGAATACGTTATACCGATGCCATGTCCTTCCTTTGAGTTCAAAACATTTAATGATCAAGAATAGATTCAGTATGAAAGTAAAAATTAAATAATCAAAGTTATTTTTGTATAATCGCGCGCGCTTTGCACTTACCATGGAACATTCGTGGCTGCTAATAGTGTCACATTCATATACTCCATCGACAACAACCCGTCTAATCTAGCGAGAAGTTCCGCTCGAAATCTCCTGGCGGGTTCCGAGCTCGACGAAGCGTAGTCCGCGTTCTTCGTGGTAGTCCAGTCGATCTCGTCAATGAAGATGATCGTTGGCGCGTAATGTTTGGCAAGATCGGTGAGTACCTAAATTCAATTGAGATTTCTCCGTCCTGCGATTCTCTTTCGTTATAAAAAGAAAGACCATTTATTCCCCGTTTATTTCACATTTTCTTTTCCCTTTGAGTACACGCAGCATGTTAAACACTGTGCTTGCGGTACCAAGTGAAGAGCAATTATCGTCCGAGACTGATTAACTTACGCGAATATATTTTTCAGAATCGCCTCTCCACTTGCTGATGACGGAGCTCGAGGTGATGTTGAAGAAAGTCGATTGGCACTCGGTAGCGACGGCTTTCGCGAGCATCGTCTTACCTGCGTTCGGTGATTGGTTCCCTCGTTAACCTTGCTATCGATTTCGTCGATAAAATGAATTCGCGATTACGTACCAGTTCCCGGCGGACCATATAACAGGACACCCTTGCAAGCGCCGAGTTTGCCGTTGAACAAACTCGGGTACTTCATAGGATACACTATGGCTTCCTTCAGTAACGCTTTACAAAATTTCAGCCCCTTTACATCATCCCAGTGAACGTTCAAATTTTGTTGCACGATATCCTGCGAATTATTTCGCCCAATTTCCATTTGCGCCTAGCTGTCTCTTTGCACTTATGTGCATCAACTATCTAATAACGAAACGATCGGGAAAATATCTTGTTTTAATAATTATGCTTCTACTGTTTGCTCCCTCTAAAAGATAGACGTCTCTAATTTTATCGACATCGCACATCCGCAAAGTCGGGTGACAAAATATTAACGAATGGAGTTAACGAACGAACGATAATCTGAAATCACTCGGAGCCACACGCAATTCTCATTTTACCGATCACTTCCAAATTCACGGCAAAATTCACGCGCCTTTCTCTTCGTTTCTCGACTTGTTAGATTCTCGTCGATTTATTCTATGCAAATTGCCAAGCGACAGGTTCGAAGACAAACGCGACCGTATTTTTCGTTTCCATGTGTTACCCGCGATATAACGTCGGCGATTTCCTTCAGCTCGGAGCCGGGCGGGTAGAGATCGCCGATGGGTTTCAGTATCCTCTCGTTATTATCGGTGAACGCTTCGTCGGACATGGCTATCGGCTGTACTATCGCCGCTCGATCGCCGCTCTCCGCCGGGAAAATGGGCGTCACCGTGATACCGAGATTCAGCTCGTTCGACGCAACGACGTGTTTCTGCGCAATCTTGCTCTTGCCGGTATTGTTACACTCGTCGCCGACGGCTCGACCGTCCTCTTGTCTCAAATTAAAAGTTTTCGAGACTCTCTCCTTTTTACCGCAGCTACGGGAGAGAGATTGCAATTTAACGTTCGCTATGATCAGAAGCTGACACACACATACCATATATCTAATACATATACGCGAGAGGATTTTTATAAATTCAACCGTTTTATAAAAAGACTATCCTCTTTTTATAAAACATCGCGCCTCTTACGCGCCGCGGACGCGTTTTATAAAAAGACCGGGCTTTTTATAAAAGGGCTGAATTCGCAAATATCCCACGCACGACACATATATCAGCACATACTCCGTGTTATATTAACATATTCGTTATTCGTATACCGCGTATGTATGTTTCCGCTTGATGATTGCCCGAATTGCCGAATTCATCTTTCGGGTGTCCATAAACGCGGACCACTTCTTGCGGCGCACAAAACCGTCGCGTCGGCGCGCGATAAACCCTCGAAGCTCTATTACACCCCATCCGGTGGTTTCCGATATTCCGCACGACCTGACGTTACACCCGCGCGAATATAATGAGCTGTATTTCATACGTATTTTGCGCGACGTTGCCGGCTGCTTCCATCTTCTTGCAGAACTTAGGATATCTGTTGTACTTGGCGTAATAATAATCGGCGTACTCGAGAATGATGGTCTCCAGGTCGATATTATCGCATACGTGAACGTCCCGGCAGAGCTGCGCTTCCTTCAAGAGGCTCTCCGCGGTATTGGAATATCTACGAGAGACGTTGTGCTCAATAACAATCCTGAACAGGTCTCGTTGAGCGACTATCTGTGCAATTTTGCGTGCGCGTCGCGACTTATTTTTCTTCTTCTCTTTTCTCAAATCGCGCACTTGTGCATTTTGTTCATAACGCTAGAGTATATTTCCGATGACAGAAAAAAAAATCAGAATAACTATTCGAACCGCGAAATTGCAGCCAGAGAAGAAGGCATTTTACATGCGACAATTTCTTATCAAGGAGATATTAGCGCTTGGAGTTTGAAAGAGGTGAGCTGTTATTGGATTTATAAAATGACAAAACTTCGCTCAATTTTAAGTGTCAATTTTAAGTTGTTTCAGCAAGCGAGTTTCATCTTGAAGTTTTTTCTTTGCGGTAATTTATTGGGTCATTTAAAAAGTTTGACTGAATTTTAGAAGAAGTAACGTTACATTCGCGTTATACAAAAGACAATGTCGATGTTTGTGTATTACAGATTGACAGAGAATCATAGACAATAATGGTGATTATTTAACTGACAAATAATTTGGATCAATAAAAAATGGAGCCAAAATTTTTCATCGATCCTATAAGTATGAAATATATATTCAACAATAATATATATGAATTGCGAGTTTATTCTGATCACGTGTCTCAATCCAAAGCGGATGAAAGTGAGCGAAATCTCGTATAAATAACGATCGCGAAAATGCCAAACGTAGTGCTACAAATATCATCAACTACTCACCCTTGTTCTCGTAAGAAGGCGGCGATCAGGTAAACAAGATGACGCCTACGCTCCAGGGCACGTTTCTCTTCCTGATTGACCGTTAATATTAATAGCCGCGCATTATTAAATTTACAATTTCACTCTTTCCTCTTTTATATCGCATGCTTACGGACGTACCGTTATATCGTCGTCGTCGAGCTAAATATTATTCCGACGCGCGCTTATATTAGACGTGTGAATGGGAAGACTGACGGTCACAGACGACGGATATCGACTCGTTTTAATTCGTGTTTAAATTCGTCTTCTAAACCGCGACGTCTATTTGTCACGTATTACCTTTCCGTTTTAAGCACTCGCCAATGATCGATACGGCGAGTTCGACGACCGGCCGAGCTATTTTTATCAAATTCCCGGTAAAACATAAATAACTGATTTAAAAAAGAATGAAGGAGAAAAATAATGTCACACCTATGTATTTAACCATCAGAGGCCGGATATGTCTGTATTATCGGATTTCCTTCATCACACGTATGTGGCACGTGAGCCGTGCGAGGAGAGAACACAATTTTCCTACTCCTCGAAATAGGATTCGCAGACGCGAATACATCACCGTCGTATTGGAAGAAATCGTTCAATTCTTCGGTTCCCGTTCAGCATAGTAATTCGACAAGTTGCAAATATCACGATAATTTTTAGTGACGTTCTCGATTAATTATTACGTTGACCAGGAAGGAGAGCTAAACATATCCGGGCTAAAAATACGACATTCAAATGTCAATGTCCCGATTAACGTCTACGAATCTCTCTCTCTCTCTCTCTTAGATTTCCTTAAATATTCGATGAACAAGATCCCCGATAAACGTCAGTATCAGGCGATAATCGATTCGCCGCGACTCGCGACCTCCGCGATCGAACAGCGACGCGGGAATGAAGAGCGTATGTATAAGATTTATTTTCTCGTGTGCACTGTCGAAAATTCAATTTGTCAGAAAATCGTAACCGGATTCCGCGGCGACTCGTAACGATTAATCTCACCGCATAAAAAGGCCGCATTCATCCTCACCTTTTCCCGCGCCAGTTGAGTAACGCGACAGGCGGTCGCGTTCAACGACAGGCAGTCGTTCATGGTCTTCAGGGGTGATCAGCCCCCCACCGGTAACAAAAAGATAGATGTTAATTAATCCACGCAGCCTCCGCGGCCGAACGGTTTCTACGTACACTACCTCCGATCGGTCGGTCGGGGGCGTTTGTTTGGAAAAGAACACACACGATTCTAAACAGTTGCCATGGCGATGTCGATGCGACGTGGTAGTTCTCAGCGGCGGTGCAGCCGAACTTAAAGTATGGCAACGAGAGGGGTGAATCACAGTCAGGCGGTGACAAATGTGTTTACGAAGTGCAAGCGCGCAAAAGACGACGGACAATCGAGCGGGAAGCAAACTGCGGACATAGGCGCCTGTGATAATCCGGGGGCGAGACGGGGCCAGATGAAAGAAGATGAAACGAGATAAACACGCCGGTCGGGGGTGCATAAGTGGCGATGTGAAAAATCTCATTGATTCCACGTGAGAGTGCGGAAAAATGCCGCGATGGTTTCTCGGAGATTTTGGAAGACTGTTCTTCTTGTGGCAATCTATCTACATCAAGTAGGGGTGAATTATTAATAACGCCACTTAAAGCTCTCCACGTTCGCGCTTTGTTTGAGTAATAATTTCCTGGGATATCGCTCGGCTGCAAAATTCTCCGCAACATCGTTCGGGATAAAATTATTTTTCATTTTGCTACAATTCGAAATTATA